AGACCATATAAACAGAATAGCTTGCATCACATACATTGCAAAATCCCACATTAATATATATCTCTTTCAGTCATTAAAGTGGCAGAAGGGCATGGGTAAGGGGATTAGTTAACACTTCTCTGTAACAAAGTAAGGTTCCACTATGTTTAAACAGGCAGTGGTTTAAGACCCCCGCCCCTGACCTGTCCACAGTGATGGATGCCTTATTTACCTCCCATGTAAGTTACTGTATCATGCTATATGTGGGGTTATCTTTAGAAAGTGTGCAGATATTTCTACTGGTCACAATGCTGAGCACAAACTATTGACTGGTGCCTGCTACAAGGATCTTCTGTGTTTGTTATAATAGCTTCACAGGCTACCTGCTCATTTCCAGACATAAAATGCTGGCTATGACATGTAAAGAAACAAAGCTGGATCCCTTACTGCATTATCTTTCTGGCAAGGGGCAAAGATCTTTTTATTCAGGCAGGCTTTGGGCCAGGAACGACTGGTTACTTTTACCACAGTAAATGCAATGGTATAAACCACAAACTGCCACTAGTTGACAATTCTATGACTGTGATATGACACATGTCCAGAATACAAGCAGCAGCTCAAAGATGAGTGGCAGTTTGTTGCTGCAATTTACACCATTCTAAATCCTTGTCGTCGTCAAGGAATTAGACACATCGTTTATTTTTCTGAGATTATTATCAATGCAGGCAAATATATAAAGGAGCAGAAATAAATAAATAACCAATACATTCTAGCCATTATATTTCCTAAGCCAACAACAACAATAACGACAACAATGACGATGACAGTATGGAGGAGGAACCAGTGCATTTCTATGCATGTGGAAATGCTAGAATGTGAATGCGGTCTCCTTCAACACTGTTCTCAAAGGACAACGAATCATGTCAAAAGAGATTAACAGGAGTGGGCCACAAATGAAGCAGTATGGGCCTAAGGACATCTTTTTGCTTTGGACAGCATGACCTCACCAGGTTTACTTCCCTGTCCTTTTAAATCCATGTGGTCCTTCCACTGGCAATATTGTTGCAAACCCTATTTAGCTCATTGGGTGACCTGGCTTGCAAGTAAAGAGTTTGGGTTTTCTAGACTAAGGGAGCAGTGTGTGTGGCATTTCAATCAAATGGAAACAAAGCTGACAGCGCTTCTTAGAAGTGCACAGATAATTGCTATGCCAAGCAGAGTAAATCAAACCATTTCACACTTCAGAAAAATAACCAAAGCCACTATTATAGCTCCTACAGGGTTGGAGGCTGGGGGGGGGGGAGGGATGCTAGATCTTATCCTGAAACAAAAATGATCAGTGCAAACCCTTAATAATTCCACTTATCGGAATCACTGAAAACAACAGGGACCTCTGCATTACAATGTGTTATAGCTGAATGACATACAACTCTGTGGATACATCTTTTTGCCCTTTGAAAAGTATCTGCATCAAGTCCTTGGGTAAAAATTCTTTCCATTGAGTAATCTGTCTATATCTAGACTGTTTCAACTTTGTTCCCACACTGGAAGAAAGCTTACTGGCAGAGAGATGCCTTCTGCCGAGAAAAGCTTTGATGGCAAGAGTTTTGGTGATGCTGGAAACCTACTGAGAAGCAGAATTTTCAACAACAGAGACCCTCTTGGAACAAGATCTTGTAAAAGGGCACCACTGCAGAATATCTGGATGTGCCTATGCTTACATATGCATCCCTACAAATAAATGGGCCTCTCCCATCCCTCTTCCCCAAAAATGTCCTCTCCTGTCCGTAGCAATGTTCCTGTGAGAAAGAATAAACACAAGCACCTAAACATTCCTGCTCTGGGTTTCTTAGTGCTCTTTCATCATACTTTATGCTCTCCTTTAGATTATAGAAAAAACATACACTGCAAGAAACTTCTGGGCTACACAGAGATAGTGGTTTATGGAGGAACTGAGATGAACTGAATACTGTAGTCTGGGATTGCTGAGAACAGTTCAGTTGGAAAATGTTTGGAAATAAACAAGGAAACAAAAAGGAAATAAACATACTGGGCAAAGTCATCATCACCCGAGAACTGCAGAGCTGGAAGGGACCTTAGATATCATCGAATCCAGACACGGTCAAGGAGGCACAGTGGGGCGTCATACTCCCAACCTTTGGTTCAGCGGCTAGATACCTAAACCAATGGACTTAAAGCTTCCTATCCTTCCATTTCATATTCTGAGGCTCCCTAAGGTTCTCTTTTGCCCTGGGAAAATATTTGAGACCTTCTGAACGGAGGATGGGACATGAAGGCTTTCATAGTCAGAAATCACTGCTGGATCCCTATGGCTGGTCCCAATTCTGCTGGTAGCAAACCTGAGGTGGTTTTTTTCCCCCTATTAAAGCCTATGCTGCCCCCCTCCCTGCTCCCAAGGCTCCCAATAGGTTTCCAGACACCCCAGGAAGCCTCAGAACCTGATGGGGCGGGGGATAGAATGTTGGGATTTTGATATGAAAATGTATTAAATCTTAATATTGTATAGTTAAATGTAGAATGGCTGATTTTACCTGAGTCACTGTACTGATTGTATTCAGGCGAGGGCATCAAGGATTAAGACTTAATGTTGTACAACTATGTACATGATGAAACTTTATGTAACAGAAAACGAAGTACAGTGGTGCCTCGCTTGACGAGGATAATCCGTTCGTCGAACGAAATCGTCGTCAAGCAAAAGTAAAAAACCCATTGAAATGCGCTGAAAACCGGTTCAATGCGTTCCAATGGGCGAAATACCTCAGCATCCAGCAAAGATCCTCCATAGGGTGGCCATCTTCCGGTGTCTGTAAAGTGAGGAATCTGTCCTAAAGCACAGCGGGGAGCCATTTTGAAAGCCCGACAATCAGTTGTTTTGATCGTTGTTAAGCAAAAAATCGGTCCCCGAAGCAGGGAACCAATCATTGTGAAGAGATATTTCCCTATTAAAACATCATCTTTGTGATTGGAAAAAAAAGCTGACTGGGGAAGACAATATTTCCTGCTGCCTAGATTGGGAAGTGAAGCACGATCTCTCTGCACCCTGAATGAGATCCCCCACCTCCCCATCTCTTGCTTGCACCATATATGTGCCACTGAAATCCTGCCACTGAATACACCATTGAATTTATTTGCCTGTCAAGGGTGCTAGATTGCTATGTGAGTGCAACTATTCAGGATCCCTATTATTTTTTGCAAGAGTCATCCTAGCGCTCAACCTAATCACACATATATGCACTTAGGACAGATACGGACAACTCGTGATCCTCCAGACAGGGATTGCTCCTGGGAATCCAGACTTCATTTCATAATCTTCTCATCCCACCCCCCCTTTTCTTCTTTATTCTAAGGAGGCATTAAAGAGGGAAAGATAGAGGATAAAACTAAGGCAGAAAAGAAACAAGGCTGACAGGATACTTCCTGACAGAGAGATTTTAGAGCTGTCCACCAAAGCACCCTCAGTTTCAGCCTCATCTCTGTAATAGGACAGATCCTGCAGCTGAGAGTAGAGAGGGTTTTTGCACATGATACAATTTGATGAAGAACTGAACAGCATCAAAATAGATGCATAATAACTGAATCATATATAGAAAGCATATTTTTTTTCCATTACACCAAACAGACTTTGAGTGAATCAGGCGAAATCGAAAGAAACAAAACAAGCTTCAGAACTTTTCCTTTCATTAATGGAAGAAGATAAAACACCTGTAGTCTTGGAAGTCAGTCATACCACTGTTTGGCATTATGTTTGAATGTGACCAGTTTCTCAGTTTTCACAGATGCCTTACTTTGTCTTCCTACCAGCAGCCAATCATCCTAATCGCTTGGCTTTTTAGGGTCAAAGAACGGCAACATGAGGAAAATCTTCCCCTGTGCAGTGCAACTTACTCCCTCTCCCCCATTCCCCCCAAAATATCAGTAATCCTCTGCTTCTCCTTCTCACCATTTCATAAATGATGTTAACACGCTGGTGTATTCCATAACACATCCTGCTTACATTTATGTGGCAACTCAGCTAGATATTTTTTATTCAAGATTAAGGTGGGGGAGGATGCTGCATATACTAGTCTTACTCTGATTGTATTTTCCTCAGCAAACTGTCTGGAAAAATCTGGCCTAGCCTGTTAGTCATGGCCCTATTTTGTCACCAGTGTCAATTCTGTACACGCCAGTATACCACTTGACAGGATGTTTACTCTCTCAATAATTAGCACAAACTCAATTATATTAATTATCATGCTCTGGAGACACTTTGGAGACATACAACAAAACAAAAAAGCCTTTACTAAACTTTCTGACCACATTCCTTCACAGTATTTTAAAGTAACATAACAGGTTAGCAACACTCTGGAATAAATTAAGGACACAGAGGCTTCACACACACATCCCTCCAATGGATTAAGTACTTCCGTGTTAAGTATGCCTGGAAGGGGGAGGGAAGGATTTAATCCCAACCTAGCATTTGTTACATTACACCATTTAAAGTATGCATGCGCTCAGTTTTAATAAAACAAAACATGCCATTTAATAAAGCAAGTACTGATAAATAGGGATCTTCAGGTCTGAACAGTCTAGGACCCAAAGCTAAACTATGAATCCATTATTAAAATGATTTTGGAAATGCACTTTGAGAGTTTCCAGCTCAGACCTCTTATAAACTCAGGCAATGTCTTCTTGTTTCATTAGAGTGTAGCATCAGTATTCAAATCACTATCTGACTCCCTTAAGGAGTGGAAGAAGAGAAGGAGGAAGAGGCATATTTCAACCTACGCTGAAGAGCAAAACAATTTTACAATTACTCATTTAAAATGCCAGTTCAGGGACTTACTCAGAGAAACCTGGCAGGTTTGGAACAACAAAGCTCTTAAGAATGTGACGTTTCCTATCTGTGTGCTTTAGAACTTCTAATATAAAGGCTTAAGAAAGATCTAGGCCTTAACAGGTCAGACATCAACTGTCTTTCGCTTCAAGAAACCAGACAAAGAAAAAAAAAATCTACACACCTTTAGGGCACACTTCCGCCCAGTCACCTTGTGAAAGCACTCCATTACTTTGCCATTAATGCCAAGGCCAAGCACCCGCTTAGAGGTTTTGTAGTCATCTGTGACTGCGTGCTTCTTTATCTCCCCCCTGACCGGGACAGCTCCTGCAGGCAAATGTCTTGAGCTGCTCTTGCTGTCCTCCTGAGTCTTTACCAGGGCTTCTTGCTGATCCTCACTCTGTTCCATAGCAGGCTGGAGTTATACGTTTAACTAAAACCAGTTGCTTGTTCTGCTCCACAATCCCTTCAGTAAGATACCTCCATCATGTATTTCAAAGCAAACTTTTCAAGCAGACTGGATCCATTGCCCCAGGATTTCACAGATGGATATCCTTAAAAAGAAAAGTTGACAGAATTTCTCATTAACTGTAAAAACATGAAATGAAGGACTATTCCTGGTAATCTTTCTTACATTTGTATCCCGCCCAACTTATTGCAGCCACTACTCTAGGCAGTCACTACACTATCATATAAACCCTATCTCCCCACTCCTGTTACACAAACATAATATATAAAAATAAGCCCCAAACCCATAAAACAAACCAAATAAACAAAACTAATAAAACAGAATTATGGTGACAGCCGTCAGGTGGCACAGGGATTGAAGGTATGCTACTTGAGGATCGGAATATTTTTAAAGTCTTCCCTAAAAAGTGTGCTTTTCAGCTGTCTTTTGAAACTCTGGAGGGAGGAAGCCTGCCAGATCTCCATTGGGAGGCCATTTCCAAAGTGCAGGACCACTACTGAGAAAGTCTGTGTTCCAACGGAGGCCTTCCTTGCCTCCCTCAGCATGGCCACATGCAACAGCAAGGCCTGGGAAGATCAAGTGAAATGGATGAAATGAACAATCTGATGTTCCAACACATAGCGAGGTCCTATACCATCAAGGGCTATGTATGTTAAAACTAACACCTTGACCCAGGCCTGGGACACAACAGGTAACCAGTGCAGTTAGGCCAGGACTGGGGATATGTGACTGAATCTCTTCATGCTAGTAATCAACCTGGCTGCTGCCTTCTACACCTGCTGTAGTCTCCAGGTCAGCTTCAAGCCCCACGTAGAGAGCATTACAGTAATTGATCCATGAGAGAACCATATTCTGTGCCATAGGATGAGAAGTTTACAGAATCCTAAGAAATAACAGACACTTCATAGCTTCATGGCATGCTCCATAAAAGAGTGGCATTAACCCAGGAATGGCACTTTCCCCACCACCACAAGGTGTCTATGCTTTCAATAGGCAGAATGTCAAAGGGTGACACATTATCACAGTTATTACATGGGGCAAGGGGAGGTGCAACTGCAGACTTTGTGACTTTTATGTACAGTACTTGCTAAAGCCATAGGCAGGAAAAACAGGTGGCAATCCTGGATTAATCTAAACTAGCCTTCAAAAAGAGGGTGCCTTCTGGATGTGTCTTTGCACCTCAGCCAGCATGGCCAGTGGTAAGGGATGAGAGGAGCCCTAGTTAGAAACATCTGCAGTGCACAAGAGAAAGCAGACCTAAACTTTGTAAAACAACTAATATTGGTAAAGTATGAAAGCATGCATTAGCCTATGGATTTAAAAATGTACGAAGCAGGCATCTGAGTGGTCCTGCTCTAAGAACTGGAGAACCACCTCTTTTAGGATTGGAGAGAAGCATAATGAGATAAATCCAGCAGTAAGTCAAAATTAGAGTAGGTCCTTTGAATCAATGATGTTATGAAGGGTTTGGCTCACAAAGTCCACACTGATTCTATGGGTCTAACTTTAGTTGTTGACTTGCTACTGGATTTCAGCCACTGCTTTCAAACAGTCAATAGTGTCTGTGGGAACCGGGCAAGATGAATCACTAATTATGCTTGACAACTGTCACATTGTTCTGACAGGCTATTATTGATAGCTGTCTGGAGTGACTAGCATTGAAAGGTGAGGTGCTTGTATTACTAGGTTTATTCATCTGCATCCATGTGGAAATAATGACAGCACTGATAATGATTACTCATAATCTAAAACAGATAAGGAGTGATTAGTGTTGGCAGTTAAACAGTAGCCCCGCTTCAGCCCCTGTTGCAGCAAACTGAAGTCCTGGGGAAGGACATGTTCTTAGAAGTATTTCCATTCAGTCTCCTGTGTTGGAGCCACAGATGTTCTTTCAGAATACCTCAAGATCTTCACAGGCATTGGAAAATGGTGGCAGATGCAAGGAAAGAGCCACTAATTTCATGGAAAGATTCTCATAATATTACTTGTATCCTCATACTCCATTTTAATCTGGGTACAAGTGGTTTGGTGTATTTCATCAAATCTTAAACTTGTTTATTCCAAGGGTTTTCTCTGAGACATATCAATACAGTAATGACTTATAAGCATGTGCAGAGATTTTCTCTCCCTCTCAACAGAGAACAATTCTTGTCTGCCACACTTTATCTGCCATGAAGTGGCTAGGTTTTCCAAAAACAAGAGCAAGAAATAAAGATAAAATTTAGGTCAATTATCCTAGACAGGCAGAACAAGATACTAACTTGTCCTGAAAATTACTCTCTTCCTCTGCAATGTACAACATTCAGACAATTGTGTTTAATTATACCTGCCCAGGCTGTGTTACTTCTTCATCTACAGAGGAGGTAGGGACAAAAAACTCCATGTTACCAGGGCTGGATAGACATAAAAAAGCCGCCTTAAGTCAAAAAGCTGTCTATCCGTCCTCTGAAAGTATCTCGACACTGATCCTGACAATTAAATATTTGAAAAGAAATGCGAATGTGGGGTAAATGTCACAATCCTACACCTTGAGTATGGGCTCTAGACCCTGAGAGAACCTGTCATATCTTGGGGAATTCTGTGGAAAGTAAAATTACTGAAGGTGATGCTTTCTTCTCTGACAAAGAAAGGCTTCACCTGGTATTTATTTTATTTATTTATTCAATTTATATCCCGCCTATAAGGTAGTTCAAAGAAAAAGCATGCCCCTCAAGGTCTAGACCGGCAACAGGCAAGTCCATTATAGCCATAGGACGTGAGGGTGCACAAAACCAAGTCAAACCAGGAGTTGCCATACCCTAAGCAGGTCACCCGTGGAAGAAGCAGGCCAGGGGCAGGGAAGTGGTCCTCTACTGTCAAGACGAAGGGCCCTCTGCCCGCGAATGGAAGAAAGGGTCTCCCAAGGCGCGAGAGGAGAAAGAAACGCGTGGGCTGGGCGCACAGCGGAGGCGACGCTTCCGCAAGAGGTTACCTGCGTTGGGCGCATGCTCCTCACAGGTGGTCGCTCTGTTGCTGTTCTCCTGGCAGCCAGCGGCGAGGAAGGGAGGGGGGGCGAGGAGGATGGCGGGGAACCTGCGGCCACAGGCTGGCTTGCCGCCCGCCCCCAGGCCCAGCTGCCGCCGCCGTCAATACCAGCGCTGCTGCTGCTGCTACTACTACTACTACTAATACTGTACTATTACTACCAATGCCACGGCTCTTCGCTCACCACGTAGGACAGGCTCAGGCGGCCCGCTCATGTGACTCCCCGCCCTGGCCGGCCCAACCCGGGCTCGGCATAGCCACCAGCCGCCGCTGGGGAGAAGGTGGAGGGAGGGGCATGGAGGGGGGGAGGAGGAGGAGGAAGAAGAAGAGGGGAGGGAGCACGTGCTCAGGGACACCTGGCTACAAACACGGGCACGAGAGGGCAGGGAAAAGGAAGGGGGTGGCGGGATGTTTATGGTGGAGGTGCGCGGGAATGTGGAGGGCGGGCCGGCAGTGCCAGTCCCACGGAACAATTAAAGCAAAAAAAAGGAAACCTTTGGCCTCACGGCCATTGTTGAAACGGGGGAGGGGGGGAGAATGGCTACGAAGAAGCAGAAGAATGAATGGACGGGCGGACGGACACCTCAGCTCTGCCGCCCTGCGGTTCCCAAAGACCTTTCGCGCTTGGGATCAAGTCGCTGTGGAAATACAGCTGACGAGGGAATGTGGTTCGGAGCTCCCTCGCCCGGCAGGAAGGGCAAGGAGTCTCCGGCGGCTGGGCTTCGCGAATAATAAAGACGACGGAGGTCTAGTAGACCGAATGCCGTCACTTTGTGGGGCGGATCGCCCAGCCGGGGCGGGGGCGGCTGGGGAGAGCGGCTTCGCCGGGAACACCAGGCAGGCAGCCCACAACGTAGCGTCGAGATACTGTAGTCTGCCACTGGTTGGTTTCCCTCTCTTTCCCCCCCCAAAGACACGTTGTGGGAAAGGCTTAGCTGAAGGACATCTTCTCGCAGCTCGTGCTGCCCCTGAAATGTCACAGTGAATCACGGCGTGTACTGAGGGAAGGGGACGAAGCGCTTTGTTTCCCGCTTAATCTCCTTTGCGGAGCGCGGCTGGTCTTCGGAACAAAGAGCCTCGTGAGAGAGAATGGGTGTCGCGGGGGGTGGGGGAGTTGAAGAGGACGGGCTTTTTTGCTCCGTCTGTGTCCAGATCCAAACCAATTCATATGCATCTTGCTGGGCACGGGAGGAGGGGAGAACAATTAATGTGAGCCGACTTCTTGGGCCGTTCGGTTGCCAGGCGAAGCGGGAGACGCCGGCGGAGGCGATTTGCACGAAGCAGGCCCGCGATGACGCTCCGTGGAGTCGGTTTGGGCTTCAGGAAAGGCACGGCGCTCTGCGCTGCCGCTCTCGCGCGGTCCCAGGGCAGCACCTGCTGGTGGCCCAGAGAACGAGGCCACCCGGAGCCCGGGGGGGGGGCGAGCAAAATGGTCGTGCTGCAGGCAAGGGAGAGAGAGAGAAGAAAGGAGGGGGGTCAGGTTGCAATGCGCCTCTTATCGCGTCTTCTGTTTTGAAGAGCGAAGCCAGTGGAGTCACGCCATCTGCCGCGGTTTTGAAAGCGAGGGCGCGGAAGGTCAACGCCGAAGGCATTGGTGCCTTTTCGCCAGACAGCGCTAATCGGGATCCCCTCTTGCTCCCGATTTGTAGAGGTCACGAGTCAGTCATGATGGCCATAGACTCCGGCGCCGCCGCCTTCTGGTGCCCCCCACCCTTCCCCGTATGCTCCAAAAGGCTGGAGAGCCACGTGAATGAAGACAGGTCCCCCAAGCTGCGCCTAGTTCGTTCATCCCACTGTTATTATAAATAATAATTGTGTGACCTCAAGTCAGTTCTGACTTCTGGCGACCCTTTTCAACTTGTCCATTTACATTCCTGTCCATTTATGAAGATTTATGCAACAAACAGTTCTGGCCAAGGTAGTTGTTTTTTGATTTGTTTTATCTCTGGGCGAGGGGACAATGTTATCTTTTTCATGGCGAAGAGGCTTATACCCTTTCTTCAGAGCAGGGTAGGTGCTGCTAGCCCAGGAGGCCAAATGGGCTGGTTACAGCTCTGGGTATATTGGCAAGAATATTGGGTTAGGATTTGGCCAGGGGAGCCTATGGTTAGAGCAGGGAACTGAAGTGCCCTCCCCTCTTCTAGTTAGACCATTCGCTGCCCCTGCATTTGGAAGATGCAGATTTAAGTCCCCAATGAACAACTAGGCTCCCTGGGTGACAGCGGGCCAGTCGCTCTGTCTCTCAGCTTGACTTACCTCACAGGGTTGTTAGGCAAATAAATCAGGCTGCAGGAGCGTCGGGTACGCCACTTTCAGTTCACTGGGATGCAGATGAAGCTATTCTAGAATAGCAGTGCACCCCAAGAAACACTTTGCTCAGGCCCATGAATCCTCCCGGCTGTTGCCCATACCAGGCAGTTGCCTCCTCCTGCACTAGCACCAAGTTTCCAACTCAAAGGCAGAAAAGACTAGTGGGTAGTGTTATTTCTCATCTCTGATCAAGCCATTAATGGGTCAGTCATCCTGATTAATCACAACATGCTCTCAGTACTAGGCAAAATGAATTGCAAAATTTTGTTCAAGAGTTTCAGTGCTCAGTAAAAACATGGAAAGTTGTGGTTTCCACAGCAACTATCCATCAGTGCTGAAGAGTTGTTTTACATGTTAGCCACAGGTTAAGACTCACATGCTCAGCACATGACTACACGGAATTCACATGGACATAAATGTCGCTGCTGCATTTTTATGAGAGCAAAGGAAACCAGATAGACAGACCACATAAAGTTTCATGGACATGCATATTAGTGTGGAATTAGGACCCTTACCCTATATCCACAATTCTACAATGGAGGGAGAGACAGAGGAAGAATGAACTACATATGACAGATGTTAATGTAGTTTAATGCACTAATAGGAGGCACTAAGACACTGTGATAATGAGAAAACTATAAAGCCCCATCAAGAATTCAATTAAATGCTCTGGGGATCAAAACGGATTTTGCATACTGCACGTCAGCAGCTATATGGGTTAGGATAGAAACTAAAAATACTAATGAATCCTCTTCCATTTCAAGCACTAGCTTGGTCTAAAGAGAACCTTTCTGTTAATGCTGTAAAAATAATACATTTTAAAAACTACACTGATTGGGAAAAAAGCTTGCCATATATCCTGGGCGTATGAGGACCCTTCTATCCTAAAGGTTTTCAGGAAAAGGCGAAAGAGGAGTACAACTTTTTAATGTTCTTGACAATGCTGAAGCAATGGTAGAAATTGCATTTGGTGTTATTATCTGCTATAGTCAACTCTTGTTTCAAGCACCTTCAGAAATAAAGTATAACATGAGGTATGATTACTTAGTTCAGTGATTACCTTGGTCAATAAAATTATTTTTTTCCAGTGTGTACAGTCTGTGCTTCCCAGCTGTTTCAGGCAAGGAAAATATTCTCTAGTTTAAAATATGTTGCAGAGAGATTCATTTCAATGAGTGTCATTCCCTCCTCCCAAAAAGTCACTTTTATTGCAAGAAAAAGAACAGATGCTTAGAGCATAGTTACAGGAATCTGTGCCAAATGGCAAGAGTATTTGTCTGGCCATATGCCAGGGAGGGGCAGTACAGCACATATGTATCACAAAAGGTGTTCTTTGTGATTGAAGTCTAATCTGCTAAGACTGATGCCTTTCTTTAATTGCTGCTTTGGTCTCTGCTTTGAAATACAAGGGGAGGGGAGAGTAGTGAGAATGATCTTATAAGCATTCTTTAAAAACAAATTAATGTAATGTTCTTTTTAAAAATAAGTAATAGATTAACTTGTTATGTATGTGCATTTTACATACATTGAAATCATCAACTTCTTCAACATTTTTATTAATGTCTTGGATGAGGAGGTGGAGGGCATACTTATCAAATTTGCAGATGATCCAAAATTGGGTTGAATACCTAATACCCTGGAAGACAAAAAGAAAATTCACACAATATTGATACACTTGGCTAAAAACAACAGAATGAAATTTAACAGAGATAACTGCAAAGTTCTACACCTAGGGGGAAAAGCCAAATGCTTAGTAACAAGATAGAGAATATTTAGTTCAACAATACTACATGTGAGAAGGATCTTGGAATTGTTGTAAATCCCAAGGTGAATATGACCCAACAGTACAATGTGGTTGCAAAAGAAAGAAAGAAAGAAAGAAAGAAAGAAAGAAAGAAAGAAAGAAAGAAAGAATGAAAAGCCTTAGAAATACAGGCTCCAAATCCCACAAAGTACTAGTTCCTCTCCATTTGGTACTAATTATGCCTCATCTTGAGTACAGGTCCAGTGATGAACACTGTACTTTAAGAAGGATGCAGAGAAGCCGGAAGAGGTTCAGAAGAGGGCAACAGGGATGGTCAGGGGCCTGGAAACCAAGCCTTGGGAGGAAAAACTGAAAGATCTGAGCATGTTTTACCTTGAGAAAAGAATGGGGGGGGCAGGGGGGAGAGATAATAGCACTCTTTAAATACTTGAAACATTATCATACAGGGAAGGGCATGATCTGTTCTCAATCATTCCAGAGCACAGGACACATAATGATAGGTTCAAGGTAGAGGAAGCCAGATTTTAGCTGAATATAAGAAAAAACTTCCTAACAGCAATACAACAATGGAACTAAATACCTTGGGAGGTGATGAGCACTCCAACACTAGAAGCATTCAAGAGAAGATACTGTTTATTTATTGATTGATTTAACTTACAGTATACGCCACCCACACTACCCAAAGGTCTCTGGGCAGCTTAGTTATATTTTTATTTGGATTCCTGCATTGAACAGGGGATTGGATTAGATGGCCCTATAGATTCCTTCCAGTTCCATTTTTCCATGATTCTTTAACCAACTGTTTATAGCAAAATAAATACTGTCTCCAGCTTCACACAAGATAGTGCAGCTGAAAGGTAGCTTTCTATAGTAGCCACTTTTCTGTTTAAGTTTTTCAGATAGACTCAGCTTGATATTCCCTTCCCCACACAAGTGAGATCTGAAGCATTGCCACGATCTTCAATAGTGATGTCACCAACTGTCTGAAATTTCCTTCTTAGAGAATTCAGAAAGGGACTCCTTGTATGTCAGTTGAATCTGATGATTATAGGGTTTTTAAAACACTTCAGGATTTGTATACAGCTCCTGTTTTTTGTTACTGTTCCCATTTTTTCCGCCTGTATGCACTTTGTACAGGATGCCGTTGGAAAAGTTCCTATATAAGGAAGTGTATTGTTGTTTACATATTTCCAAGAAAAGTTATGAGTGCTGTGTGTCTCAGCATGAATCTATGTCTTATCTTTCCTTTGGAACAGACTTTGTACCCATGGCTAGTAATGAAATATGCACATTTAGTGTGAAATGTGGCTTTAGAAACCACTTCCAAGAAATGGAGTCCTTTAAAGACGAAGGAATAAGGCGGTTCCTTATTCTTTCTCAGCTTCTCTTGCCCTTGTC